TCATGTACACTGAAACCCAACTAAATGCTAATGAGTTAAAGGGAAATAACTACACTTGTGACAATTATGAGGACATGAAGGGAAGAATTAGTGTATAGTTTTCTGAGTTAGATGCCAACCACAAGCTCTTTTACATACATTTTATCACTTCAACCTCAAGTTGGCCACATGGGTGCCAATTCAAAAAAACAACACGAATTAACCTTTTTCCCTTTTAGCAGGAGTCTCTCACAAGTGTTCCCACAGATAACAAGGGCCTAGTGTGCAGCAACCAAAGGGGAGCAATCAAAATGGCTTACATCTGCAAACTATTTTGCCTCCCTCTCCACCCAACCCAAGGAAAAAAAAGTACATCATCTTAGTTCTCCCCACTTCGGAACGCACCTATTGATTCCTTAGAAAACAGAAGGAAGTGAGTCAAACAAGAAGTGAGATTATTCTTTGTCTCAAAGAGGCAAACAGCACTCTTTTATTCACAGCCCCTCCAACTTTCACTGCTGAATTAGAGGTGAAATATGAGAGGTAATCTCAGAGAGAGCACTGGAAAAAATAGAAGTCTAAGAGTTTGTTCAAAATACCTTTATAAGAGCATAAACCTAATTTTAAAACTTCATTATCCCAGTTATCAATTGGTGCAAGGATATTTTATAAGTATTAGCCTATATATTACAAGACAACACAGCAGCTGTTTATGCAATACTTGGAATATAAAAACCAATGTGAAAGTCCTCATGGATCTGTCAGCAGGACATCTGTGCCACTCACTTAGAAATTCACAACTTCCTGATCACCTACACAAAGAACCTTGATCATTTATAACATGAAGCCTTTCTAGGGTCCAAAATAGTTTAAACAGGGGAGAGGAGTGACTATGAATTCATCTCTCATAATCCATTATAAATTTAATTATTTGACAGGTTTGTCAAGGTTAAAATGTTTTTTAAAAAAAATGGAAATCTGAAAGAAAACAAAGTCTGCAGTCCGATGTTTTAATTATTTAGCCCGAGACTCCTAATTCTACATGAAAGCAGGTCAGAAAGACTATGCTCCAGGGATACAGGACTTTTAGAGAATATACTCATGCCAATTAAATGACTAAAGGCTGTGTGCACACGTGGTATGGTGTTATTTTTTTTTAAGTTGCCAAGCATGTTTATTGGGCACAATTTTAAAAATTGGTTTAAGCATCTCTCAAGAATGCTATAGTATGTATTCCTACATGGCAGCAGGCTGGACTAGATGGCCCTTGTGATCCCTTCCAACTCTAGGATTCTAATGCATAATTATCCATTTGCAAACTGGGGGTCTTTAAGCATCTCTCAAGAATGCCATAGTTTGTATTCCTACATGGCAGCAGGCTGGACTAGATGGTCCTTGTGGTCCCTTCCAACTCTAGGATTCTAATGCATAGTTATCCGTTTGCAAACTGGGGGTCTTTAAGCATCTCTCAAGAATGCTATAGTTTGTATTCCTACACAGCAACAGGCTGGACTAGATGGCCCTTATGGTCCCTTCCAACTTTAGGATCCTGTTATTCATAATTAGCCATGAGTCTGCTTAGAACGGCAATTTCTCATTGCCCTGGACACCACAATTCTCAACACACTGCATATAGGTGCACACACTGAGGTCTTAATGTTCAGGGTGTGGTGTTGCTGCCCCTTTAAAAAGGCTGAACAAATTACTCTGTTAGAAATCTCACTGCAAGGGGAATGAGCTGGCTTCTATTCCCACAGGGATCTCCCAGCAAGGATATGAGAACTCTCTACCCCCAAAGGGATCTCACTGGAGGGTTAGTTGCTCAGCAACTACCTACAACTCGCTCTTCTCAATGAAGGGGAAACTGAACATTAATCACACTCTGCAGAAAAGGAGGAGGAGAACGGGATTAAAAGATTGTTTAAAAGATGTTTCCTGTTATTTTATGTACCTGATGTTTCCCCAAACATCATATACTTGGTTATAATTTGGAGAGAAGGCATCTATATGCGCATGCACACACACACACACGTCTATCTATTGGGTATCTACATCCTAAACAGGATTAAAGATTCCAACACTAGAGAAGCTTCGTGAAGTGACCAAAGAAACTTTTAAGCAAGGTTTGCAACTCTGTGCTGTGACAAAGCAAACTCTGTGCTCTGACAAAGCATCAGTGTGCAAGGAAAACAATTCGGGCACCTGACATAAAAAGGTAATTTTAAGATGGAATTCATCACTCTGATTAAATCATGATCATAACATTTAGGCTCCAAGATTATTGAAGATGGGTATCGTCACTCTGATGAATCATGATCATAACATTTATGCTTCAAGATTACTGAAGATACAAAGCGTCACTGATTAAATCATGATCAAAGCATGTATTCTACAAGATCAAGGTATAGCTCCCAAATCCCAAATTATCTAATCACTGTAGATAATATTAACTGTTCAAGGCTGTGTATGCTGCTGAGGAGATGCCCTTGTATTTAAATTGGGAAGGCACTCTTGCATTAAAATTAAGGGGGTCATGCTAGTGTTTAAGTTATAGAAGGGGAGCCTTGTAGTAAAGTTAAGGGATCTCACTTATATTTTAGGACTGTTCCACTCAGCTGAATAGAACCCACACTGAACTGGATTATATGGCAGTGTGGACTCAGATAACCCAGTTCAAAGCAGATATTGTGGATTATCTGCCTTGATATTCTGGGTTACATGGCTATGTGGAAGGGCCCTTTGTTAAGCGGGGGGGGGGGTCACCCTTGTATTTAAGTTAAGGGGGTACCCTTGTGTTTAAGTTAAAGGGGACCCCCTGTATTGAGGTTAAGGGGTCACACTTATATTTCAGTTAAAGRGAGTACCCCTTGTATTAAAGTTAAGGGATCACCCTTGTATTTAAGTTGAAAAGGACACCCTTGCATTAAATTTAAGTTGAACGGTGATGCCTTTGTATTTAAGTTCATGGGTCACACTTATATTGAAGGTAAAGAGGGCACCCATATATTTAAGTCGGGGGGGGGGGTCACACTTGCATTTAAGTTAAGGAGTCACACTTATATTTAAGTTAAACAGGGGCATCCTTGCCTTTAAGTTAAGGGGTTACATTTATACTGAAGTCAAAGCAGGTACCCTTGCCTTTCAATTAAGGGGGCTACCCATGTATTTAAGTTAAGGGATCACAGTCATATTTAAGTTAAGGGGGGTCACACTTATATTTAGGGGGGTCACCCTTTTATTTAAGTTAAGGGGTTACATTTATACTGAAGTCAAAAGTAGCCTTGCCTTTAATTTAAGGGGGTTACCCATGTAACCCCCTAAGGGATCACAGTCATATTTAAGTTAAGGGGGGACACACTTATATTTAAGGGGTCACCCTTTTATTTAAGTTAAGGGGCTACATTTATACTGAAGTAAAAAGTAGCCTTGCCTTTAATTTAAGGGGGCTACCCATGTATTTAAGTTAAGGGATCACAGGCATATTTAAGTTATGGGGGGGGTCACCCTTATACTTAAATTAAGGGATCACAGACATACATAAGTTAAGGGGGTAACCCTTATACTTAAGTTAAGGGGTTACATTTATACTGAAGTCAATTTAAGGGGGTTACCCCTGTATTTAAGTTAAGGGATCAATTTAAGGGGGTTACCCCTGTATTTAAGTTAAGGGATCACAGTCATATTTCAGTTAAGGGGGGGGGGTCACCCTTATACTTAAGTTAAGGGATTACATTTATATTGAAATTAAGTTAAATTAAGTTAAAGGGGGTCATCTTTGTATTTAAGTTAAAGGGGGACACTCCTGTATTTAGGTTAAGGGAGATATCCTTGCATTTTTAAGATAAAAGGGGCACCCTTGTATTAAAGTTAAGGGGTTACATTTATATTTAAGTTAAAGAGGGCACCCTTGTATTTAAGTTAAGAGGGTTACCCTTGTATTAAAGTTAAGGGGTCATGCTTATAATTAAGTTAAAGAGGGATAGCCTTGTATTTAAGTTCTGGGATCACACTGATATTTAAGTTAAGGGATGACTGTTATGTTTAACTCAAAGGGGGACACTTCTGTATTAAAGTTAAGGGGTGACATTTATATTTAAGTTAAAGAGGACACCCTTGTATTTAAGTTAAGGAGTCGTGCTTATATCTAAGTTAAAAAGGGATAGCCTTGTATTTAAGTTCAGGGATCACACTTATATTTAAGTTAAGGGGTGACTGTTATATTTAACTTAAAGGGGGACACTTCTGTATTTAAGATAAAGGGTTCACCCTTGTATTAAAGTTAAGGGGTCATGCTTATATTTAAGTTAAAGTTAAGGGATCATACTTGTATTGAAGTTTTGGGATCACACTGATATTTAAGTTAAGGGGTGGCTGTTATGTTTAACTTAAAGGGGGACAGTTCTGTATTGAAGTTAAGGGAGATACCCTTGTATTTAAGATAAAGGGTTCACCCTTGTATTCAAGTTAAGGGGTCACCCTTACATACAAGTAAGAGGAGTCGTGCTTATATTTAAGTTAAAGAGGGATAGCCTTGTATTTAAGTTCTGGGATCACACTTATATTTAAGTTAAGGGGTGACTGTTATATTTAACTCAAAGGGGGACACTTCTGTATTTAAGTTAAGGATGATACCTTTGTATTTAAGATAAAGGGATCCCCTTTGTATTCAAGTTAAGGGTTCACCCTTACATACAAGTTAGAGGAGTCGTGCTTATATTTAAGTTAAAGAGGGATAGCCTTGCATTTAAGTTCTGGGATCACACTGATATTTAAGTTAAGGGGTGACTGTTATGTTTAACTTAAAGGGGGGGCACTCCTGTATTTAAGTTAAGGGAGATACCCTTGTATTTAAGATAAAGGGGTCCCCCTTGTATTCAAGTTGCATACAAGTTAGAGCAGGCATGGGCACACTGGGGCCCTCCAGGTGTCTTGACTCCAGCTCCCACCATTCCCAAAGAGAGCCAAAACACCTGGAAGGCCCCCAATGTGCTTGGGTGAGAGGCATCAAGGCGGAGACTCACAGGTGAAGGGCCCCGGCGGGCAGGGCGCCCGGAAGAGCGAGGTCCCGGATCCCCCGGTGGCTGCAGTCCACCCTCCCGCCGCCCAGGCAGGAGCAGCCCCAGGAGTCGCCGTCGCAGGGCGAGGAGGAGGAGGAGGCCCGGAAGGAGAGCAGCAGGAGGAGGAGGAGGAGAGGCAGGAGGCGCCTCCAAAGGGCCCCCAAGTGGCCCCTTCCCGGCCCCGCCATTTTGGAAGTCCTGAAGCGTCCTGAGGAGCCTCCTCTCAGACCATGGCAACTTTCTGAGGGGAAGTCAATCCTCGCAAGAAGAAGAACTCCTTCTGTGGCTTGTCCCACGTCGCAACGGGAGGGAGACAAAACCCTTCCACGTGTTTCCTTCCCTCAAAGAGAAAGTTCCCCTGCTTCTTCTTCTCCTCCTGAGGCGAAGGGAGTCCTCCTATATAGGCTCTGCTCTTCTCCTTCTCCTTCTTCTTTCCTCTCCCTTCCTCGCAGACACCTTTCCTCTCCCCCTTCTCTCCGCCTCTGCAACTTTCCCCTCGGCGCTTTCCCTCCTCCCGCCCCGCTGTCAATCAAAACGCCTGGCCCCTATCAACTCTATCTCTCTCTCTCTCTCCATAGCCAACCCCCGCCTTTCCGTTTCTTAGCCCCGCCCCCTTCGCGCCTCTCTCCACTCAAACCCACGTTGGACTCCTTGCAACACGTCTCTCCACAACCCTCTCTCTCTCTCTTTCTCCACCCTCCGCCCGCCTCCCGAGCTTTCATTGGCTGCCCCGCGTTCCAACACCAAGCCCGCGCGGCCCGCGATTGGACAACAACGCAAGCCCTCCCTTTCTGCAGCGGGGGTGTCAATCAAGGAGGAAATAGAGACCCGCCTCCCTTTCCCACCCAAGGTGTGAAAGAAGGAGACTCCGCCCACTCCTTGGCTTTGCCTTTTTTTTCTCTTGGTGGCGGCGACTTAAAGGGGAAGCGCACGGGAAAAGGAAAACCTGTTTTCTTTCATCTTCTCCTTCTTGTTCTCTTCTATCGTTATTACTATACTATTCTTGTTAGTATTGTTGTTTTCTTTTAATATTAATATTTCATTAATATTTTATTATTAATATTTTCATTTTGTTTTTCTTACTGCTTTCTTTTTTATTATTACTATTCTTGTGTTCTATCTACCTATAGATAGCACATAGAAGATTTATTTACTTTATTTTATTTATTTACTTTACTTATATACCGCTGTTCTCAGCCCGAAGGCGACGCACAGCGGTTCACAACCAACAAAAACAGCAGAAATCCAATGTCAGATATAAAACAGTGAACAATCCCGCGCAGCACACAATTAATAAACACTTATTACAATAACTAATCACTATCATCTCATCCACAAAAACATAATCCAGACTCATCAACCATTTTCCATTCCTATGTTCATTACCAATTATTGCACTAATTATTCGAACGCCTGCTCAAACAACCAGGTCTTAACTTTTTTACGGAATACCATTAGAGATGGTGCTAGCCTAATGTCCGTGGGAAGGGCGTTCCACAGCCGAGGGGCCACCACCGAGAAGGCCCTATCTCTCGTCCCCGCCAACCGTGCTCAGCACATAGAAGATGGCTTTGAAAGGCAGCAGATCACAGGAGCTGTCTTCATAGATCTGTCAGCAGCTTATGATACTGTGAACCACCGCCTCCTCCTGAGAAAAATGTATAATATCACAAAGGACTACCACCTCACCCGCCTCATAGGAAACCTGCTACAAAACAGGAGCTTGTTTGTTGAGTTCCAGGGCCAGAGAAGCAGATGGCGGAAACAGAAGAACGGCCTGCCTCAGGGGAGCGTCCTTGCTCCATCCATGTTCAGCATTTACACAAATGACCAGCCAGTGCCAGAAGGGACAGAGAGCTTCATCTATGCTGATGATCGTGCCATTACTGCTCAAGCAGGGAGCTTTGAGATGGTAGAACAGAAGCTCTCCGAAGCTCTAGGTGCTCTTACTGCCTATTACAGGGAAAACCAGCTGATCCCTAATCCATCTAAAACACAGACATGTGCCTTTCACCTTAAGAACAGACAAGCATCCCGAGCTCTGAGGATTACCTGGGAAGGAATCCCACTGGAGCATTGCAGTGCACCCAAATACCTGGGAGTCATTTTGGACCGTGCTCTGACCTACAAGAAGCACTGCCTGAACATCAAGCAAAAAGTGGGCGCTAGAAACAACATCATACGAAAGCTGACTGGCACAACCTGGGGATCACAACCAGACACAGTGAAGACATCTGCCCTTGCGCTGTGCTACTCTGCTGCTGAGTATGCATGCCCAGTGTGGAACACATCTCACCACACTAAAACAGTGGATGTGGCTCTTAATGAGACATGCTGCACTATCACAGGATGTCTACACCCAACACCACTGGAGAAATTATACTGTTTAGCCAGTATTGCACCACCTGACATCCGCCAGGAAGTAGCAGCCAATAATGAAAGGACCAAGGCAGTGACATCTCCAGCTCATCCCCTGTTTGGGTATCAGCCAGCACGTCAACGACTTAAATCAAGAAATAGTTTTCTAAGATCTACAGAGACACTCGCTGGAACACCTCAGCAAGCGAGAGTCCAAAAGTGGCAGGCTCAAACCCAGAACCTCAATCAATGGCTGATACCAAATGAGAGACTCCCCCCTGGGCACACAGAAGACTGGGCGACTTGGAAGACGCTGAACAGACTGCGCTCTGGCACCACGAGATGCAGAGCCAACCTTCAGAAATGGGGCCACAAAGTGGAATCCTCGACATGCGAGTGTGGAGAAGAGCAAACCACTGACCACCTGCTGCAATGCAACCTGAGCCCTGCCACATGCACAATGGAGGACCTTCTTGCAGCAACACCAGAAGCACTCCAAGTGGCCAGATACTGGTCAAAGGACATTTAATCAACTACCAAACTCACAAATTTTGTATTTTGTCTGTTTGTTTGCTTTGTTCTGTTAGAAATGTAACATAATTGACTGGTTGCCCTGACATGACAAATAAATCATTATTACTATGCTATTCTTGTTATTATTGTTGTTTTCTTTTAATATTAATATTAATATTTTATTAATATTTTATTATTAATATTTTCATTTTGTTTTTTTACTGCTTTCTTTTTTATTATTGCTATTCTTGTGTTCTATTATCTATCTATATAAATAAAATGTAATGTTCGTTTGTGGGATTAACATAACTCAAAAACCACTGGATGAACTGACACCAAATTTGGGCACAATACACCTATCAGGCCAACGAGTGACCATCACTCATTAAAACACTGAAAAACACAGAAGAGACTTAAAAAGCAAAAAACAACATTATAATAATAATAATAATAATAATAATAATATTATTTGTCGTGTCAGAGCAACCAGTCCATTATATTACATTTCTAACAGAACATAGCAAACAAACAGACAAATACAAAACTTGTGAGTTTGGTAGTTGGTTAAATGTCCTTTGACCAGTATCTGGCCACTTGGAGTGCTTCCTGGTGTTGCTGCAAGAAGGTCCTCCATTGTGCATGTGGCAGGGCTCAGGTTGCATTGCAGCAGGTGGTCAGTGGTTTGCTCTTCTCCACACTCGCATGTCGAGGATTCCACTTTGTAGCCCCATTTCTTAAGGTTGGCTCTGCATCTCGTGGTGCCAGAGCGCAGTCTGTTCAGTGCCTTCCAAGTCGCCCAGTCTTCTGTGTGCCCAGGAGGGAGTCTCTCATTTGGTATCAGCCATTGGTTGAGGTTCTGGGTTTGAGCCTGCCACTTTTGGACTCTCGCTTGCTGAGGTGTTCCAGCGAGTGTCTCTGTAGATCTTAGAAAACTATTTCTTGATTTAAGTCATTGACGTGCTGGCTGATACACAAACAGGGGATGAGCTGGAGATGTCTCTGCCTTGGTCCTTTCACTATTGGCTGCTACTTCCCGGCGGATGTCAGGTGGTGCAATACCGGCTAAACAATGTAATTTCTCCAGTAATGTAGGGGTGGTGCAATACCGGCTAAGCAGTGTAATTTCTCCACTGGTGTGGGGCGCAGCCACCCCGTGATAATGCGGCATGTCTCATTAAGAGCCACATCCACTTTTTTAGTGTGGTGAGATGTGTTCCACGCTGGGCATGCGTACTCAGCAGCAGAGTAGCACAGCGCAAGGGCAGATGTCTTCACTATATCTGGTTGTGATCCCCAGGTTGTGCCAGTCAGCTTTCGTATGATATTGTTTCTGGCATACGAATAATAATAATAATAATAATAATAATAATAAACTTTATTTATATCACACCACCATATCCCCAAAGGGGACTCGCTAAGCCCAATTATACATTACAGCAACACAAAATATAAACAACAAAATAAAATCACAGTTAAAATAAATAAACCAATCAAGTAAATAAACAGTACAAAATAACATAATGGAAAATCAAATAAAATTCTTCCCTATTTGCACATCATTAAAACACCAGTACAGGTTAAGTATCTCTTGTCCAAAGTACTTGGGACCAGAAGTGTTTTGGATTTCAGCTTACTATTATTATTTTTCTTTTGGGATATTCACATTTTTGTTGCTGGATCCTACAATGGGATATTTTTGAAACCAGGCACAAGTCTAAGTGAAAAATGGTCTGAAAATAGTTTTATACACAATGTCTTTTATAGTTTTGTTCATGAAACAAAGCTTGCGCATATCAGAAAGCAGTCGCACAGGTGGACTATTTTAGATTTTGGGATATTTGAGAATTTTGGATATGGGATGCTCATTCTGTAGTGTGTTCATGCCTTTTCCATTATCATTAAAAGTTTCTACATTGAAAACAAAAAAGTAGCTTCATACCCCATGAAAGTTTTAGCAATTGCAATTTTAATAATTGCAAACAATTTAGTATATTGAAAATAGAAAGAATGGTACATAAGTGCTACCTGTGCAATGATATAGTAGGCAGATTATTTATGCTGCAAGTATTATTTATTTAAATACCTTTTCCATTCAAGGATAATAAGGCAGTGAATTAAAAGAAAAACACCAAAGAAACAATATTGGAGTCAAATGAAAATATGTAGCAGTGATATAACAAAATACAGTAGTTCCTAATAAGTGGACCAGGGTTTTTTAACCTTGTTTTAATTAGGTAATGTGTTTGAGGAAAATACGTTGATATTTACAACTTGTAAAGTATGGCAGAGCCATTCCTGTTGCACCAAATGGGTCATTCCCAAACCCTGCTGTCACAGAAAATAAGCACTCAGGCCCCTTCCACACAGCTGAATAAAATCCTGCATTAGCTGCTTTGAACTGGAATATATGGCAGTGTGGACTCAGTTGATCCAGTTCAAAGCAGATATTGTGGAATTGTTTGCTGGAGTATGGGGTACAGGACCACAATGAAAGTGAAAACTGTGACTAAGGGCCCATCCACACAGCCCTATATCCCAGAATATCAAGGCAGAAAATCCCACAATATCGGCTTTGAACTGTGTTATCTGAGTCCACACTCAGATAATGTGGGATTTTCTGCCTTGATATTCTGGGTTATATGGCTGTGTGGAAGGACCCTAAGGGAACAAGGTCCCCTTTCCAGAAGAGGCTACTCCATGTGTATCTATACAAGTCATTGCTC